CAACAATTTAATTATATAATATCATTCTTGTATTTTATAATTATTCTAACCCTAATAGTGTTTTTCTAATATCACGTAGAATTTCTTGTATTTAACTTGCGGATAACGCTTGAGAACTAACTTAAAGCAAAGGTTGAGCATGCTAGCTAGATTTTAACCAGGCACATCGCTTTTCATGTCTACAATTTAGCACTACCTTACCGTATCATATATCATTTTACTACTTTTAAGATATCCAAATATTCTTAAATTATTAGTCCTATGTATTCAAAAAAATATTTCTACACACTGTCAAATTAAACTTCTCTGCAGTGTACACTTTCATTTTAAAAATAGTTGGTGATAGCAATTGGCTTTTTTTTGTATGATAGACTTATCCACTAATACAAATATTATATATATGTTTCCATTGAACGAAATCGATGGTTAGTATACAAGCAATTTTAAACAACGCAAGAAAAAAAAATAATGGAGGAGGGCAGAGATGCATATAGCTCCATGTCATGGGTTTGTTTCGTTTCTTTTATATTACTCATAGTGTATATGCTTCTGGATATAACTCAATGCTGTTACTAATCATTACGAAATTAATGTGTAAACAATATATTATATACGTTTCCATTGAACGAAATCGATGTTTTGTTACAAGCTATTTTAAACACCGCAAGAATACAATCTACTAAAAAAAACAAACAAAACAAAACAAAACAATGGATTCCAGAGATGCATAGCTCCATGACATATGTTTGTTTCGATTCTTTTATATATTATATTACTCAAAGTGACGTATAATGCTTTTACTAATAACCGAAAGGTCCACTGATTAATCTGAGATAAGATAGTATAATACATACTCCAAGTATCGAAATGCACGCCATCAAGAATGATGATGACATAATTAATGTCGAAATATTGAATCTCGACACGATGGCGTGAATTTCGATACTTGGATATGCATACTATCTTATCTTTTACTAATCATTACAAAATTACAACATTACAGCAATAATATGCTCTACCTTATCTAGGAGTATAGCTTAAGCAAGTGTTATTCCTTTTTGTTGGAAGTTTGCTTTTATTTTACCTACTACCCTAAATGTGGCCCTCCAACAATCCCAATCATTACCGTCCAATATCACTTCTTCCAATTACAGTATTAGTAAAGTCATGGAGCGTATTATAAACAACACTTTATTAGATCACTAATCATCGAATGATCATCATACACTCTCATCAGTTTAGTTATTACCCCATACATTCAACTTTACACGCCTCTTTTACAGAAGCACCTTATACCCTATTCAGACTATCTCGGCAATGAACGTTGTTAAACCTATTGGAGGTGGTGATACCACGATATCACTTGTTTCCTCTGGATTACCTCAGGGGAGCATTCATGGAGTTGGTCTGTTCCTAAGCGTTTTCTTTGTTTCTTTGTTGTTTATGACGATGCCACACTATATTGTAACATCAATACACCATCAAATCCTGCTAAAGTCGCTTCTTCTATTCAACAGGATCTTACCACACTGCAGCTTGTCAAAAACTATTGTGTAAGACATTTGACATCAGTTGTTGATTGTTTTACTTCCAGCCTTTGAAAACCAGACGTGATATTTCTTTTTTGTCCATTATGTTTGGTGATTGTCTAATTTCTTCCTCTGTACTCAAAACTCTCTGCTTCCTCGCAGAGTTCACACAAGGCAAGCCTTTCCTCATTTCATGTCCATCTTACTCTTTCATTGACACTAAAGTCGCTTCTTCTATTCAACAGGATCTTACCACACTGCAGCTTGTCAAAAACTATTGTGTAAGACATTTGACATCAGTTGTTGATTGTTTTACTTGCAGCCTTTGAAAACCAGACGTGATATTTCTTTTTTGTCCATTATGTTTGGTGATTGTCTAATTTCTTCCTCTGTACTCAAAACTCTCTGCTTCATCGCAGAGTTCACACAAGGCAAGCCTTTCCTCATTTCATGTCCATCTTACTCTTTCATTGACAAATTCGGCAGGTTGTGGAATAACCTTCCACAGTCTGTTATTGATTCTACCACTAAACTAAATTTCAAACATTGCTTAAGTGTGACTCGATTTTATGTTAACTGTTTGTCGTGACTTTCTCTCCCCTTACCCACTCTATTTCTCTATCTTTACTTTTCTGCTGAGGAGTAATGTTTCAATGAAACAAAAAATGAGTATAAATCTAACAGACTGCTTATCCCAATAATTTGGTTTAATTAGCTATAATACACAAAATTGACTCAACTGTTCAACTCTTAACTCTTGTTGCAAATTATTATTTAACAATTAACTAGAAGGCAGACACATTAATGTTCTCGTGTTCAACATCTTTGTTTTGGGATTTGGTAATAGCGTCAACAAAAAGGAGAACTCAATCAAACTACGCACTTTTCTGTCACCGAGTCGTATTCTGAGATCTTCCGTATTCATTCCATTGTTTTTGAAATCTTGAATTCTAATATTTAAACAAAAAATATGATTAACATGACAAGAATACATCAAACAAAATATTGAACACTCAATAGTAGTTTTAAGTAAAAGTCTTTAATAATAATAATAATAATAATATTCGAAAAATAGCTCATCTGTGTTGGTATTTGAATGTACTAAAAGTTTAAACTTTTGATCACAACACAAACAAATTTCCTTACCGTAAAATTTTCGACCGTATGCCACGGTCTTCCTCAGCACAATGTCTGGAATGTGACTTGAAGGCTACACCGATTTTGGGCACGTGATCTTACGAGCACGTGACTCCAAAATCTGATCGTAGATCTTTGACAGTTTGTGTCGTCCCCCGTCTCGGTTTAGCATTGGTTTGTTTACACGGATATAAATTGCCTCTTTGACACCTCTTTCAGAGTGTTTTTTGGTTCCTTGTCAAGAATGTTGACCTGTGCCAGGTCCACATGATGTCCAGGTGATTCAATGTGGATATGTTGAGAGATTTCCGATGAAGTTGAACTAGGTCTACGATGTTCCATGAAACGTGTTTTCAGAGTTCTTTCTGATTCTCAAATGTAAGAATCTTACATTTATCGGAAGTAGTTTTGCCTTGGCAAGGGATGTGGTAGATGGCGCCTGTGATGTCTTTCTGTTGGCTCCTGTCCTTTGGTGATACTAACAACTGTCTTAAGGTGCATAATAATAATTGGAAAATGTTTGACTATGCTTATGCTAACTTACAGATGCAATAGGCTTATATAATAGTATGATATTGTATGTAATGTTGACGATAAAATTATAAATCTACCATTTTCTTTACAGGAAATATTCACTGAAGGCTCTTCATTTCTCTTTGAAGCTACTAACCATAGAGTGTACTGGAAGACAATCACAATACTTGTACCCAATTCTTGGACCGATCTCGCTGAGTATAAACCAGCAAAAACAGAAACATTTGACAGAGCAAATATACGCATAGATTGTGGAACATCAAAGGGCCCGTATACACATGTTATTGAAGGATGTGGTAAACAGGGGCAGTACATCAACTTAACACCACAGTACGTGCGGAATAAGAAATATGCTGAAAGTGGCTGGGGGCCTAAAGCTACTTTATTGATGGAACTTTGCTACATTTACTTTAGTACGGTATTACTATTATTACTAACCACCAAGATAAATATAAAACACATAAATACATTGTATGTACAACGTAGAATGAATACACATATTCAAAGAAATATTTCTATATTTATTTATTTATATGTTTGTTTATTTGTTTGTTTGATTGTTTGTTTGTTTATTTATTTAGGTATAAAAGAATATACAAACGGCAGCCAAAGGCTGAAATGAATGAATACAAAACTAGAATATATTAAGAAATGCAAGAATATTAAAAATATTATATACAAAATTGCACTAAGAAAGGACAAAACATTTAAATACATAAGAAAAATCACATAAAAAATATAATAACAATGCTTCCTTTGTCCTTGTTCATAATGAAATTGGAAATATGAGTAGTTCCTGGGAACCCGTGGAATGCACAGTGCAGCACCACAAACGGATATGGTCCTTTTCTCGAATAATTCTCAATGTGAGGATTATTCGAGGAGCCGGGTTTGAACCGTGGTCTTCAGAACAAGAAGCAGGAACAATACATGAGCAGTAATTCCTGGCCCCGACACCTTGACTCAGAAGTACCGGGATGGTGTTCGGCGGGGGATAGTTTTTACCAGTGTTTAGTTAGATTTGTAGTTAAGATAAAAGTTGTGATCCCAGCCCCGAAACTTTGACTCAGAAATACCGGGATGGTGTCCGGCGGGAGATAGTTTCCACCATTTTTATATATATTTAAGTACTTGTACAGTATTTGTCCTACCTTGTAATCCCAGCCCCGAAACCTTGACTCAGAAATACCGGGTTGGTGTCCGGCGTGGGGTAGTTTTTACCATATTATTGTAGTTAAGCTTAACCTTGAGCGGTAATTCCTGGCCCCGAAACCTTGACTCAGAAGTACAGGGTTGGTGTCCGGCGGGGGATAGTTTTCCACCAAAGTTGTTAATATTGTTTATTTTATTGTACTGTGCTGGTTACTTTTTGTTGTTGTTATTGTACTGTGTCTGTCTCTTATACACATCTTTGAATGTTTGCATACGTATTCTTTTTTCCATGAATCGATGAACCAATAGGCATGAAGAACGCACTTCCGTACAGAAATTATGTTTACGACTTCGAACCAAAAACAGCGTTTTTAATTTTATTTAATTGAAAGCAAGTTAGGTCAAGTCTTGTTAGTCCGATCTGTCAACCTATGCCTAGGTAGGTTAGCATCCTTTTGTAGGCCAGAACCCAGTAGTATTTTTTCACATTTCTTCACAGGAGGGGATGGAAGGTTTGTCCGAATCCTATGAACCCCCCCCACCAAACCCCGGATCTTCGCGCCATTGATGTCTGAGATATGCTACAAAAAATTATATAATTTGTTCGGATCTCATATATAAACATATGTTCTTGTTTGTGTTAATAAATGAATTTCAAAAACACTACAGTATTTATTGAGGCCAAGCGCTATTGCTTTATGATAACCTAAATAAGACTACATAAGGCTCTTTTTGAAAGTGTAAAATGCATTTAAACAAAATGAAAAAAGAAATACAATTCTTAAAAACTACCATAAGACTTTAAAGTTCTACTGTTAGGCCTACATTTATGTTAGATATATGTCTGCCTTACATTTATTTTGTACTTTTAGATTTCTAAAACAGTTTACAGCCAAAGCTCAAGGGCCCTGAAAATTTAGGTCTAGAATGTTGTTTGCTCTGCAGCTAAAGGGGGAGAGGGTGGCTCAAATCCGCTAATGTCATGCGTCCTTGAGCCGCACTAGGTAATTTCAAATTCTTGCAGGGTGTTCCCTTAAAGAAACTTCGTCAATGAACTATGCGGTACCTCAGCTCTACCATTGACACTGGAAGTCATGTTGGCATTGTCGAGTTTTCCACGTTTGGCACAGAGCTTGCTCCTCTCACACTTGTGTCTGATGACAGCTCCCGAGATAAACTTATTGCAGCTCTACCTTCATCAGTAAGCGGTAGGACAAGCACTGTCTCTTATACACATCTAGATGTGTATAAGAGACAGTCACAGCAGTACGTATTTGGTCCCAATAGTTTGTAATGACAATTCCATTTTCATAAAGTAACATATCTGATATATTCATTTACAGAACATTCTGTTGAATCTCAGTCAGTTACTTGCCCCATTAAGGCGTACCAGTTGTCAAAATAATGCGCAGGTCGATCCAGCTGAAATAATTTTGTTTCCAGACAACCAATAAGGAACTCTTATTCATGATAGATGTATATGAGAAATGCTATAGTAATGCTATATTGCAAGTGTGAACATTTTTACCCAACCTGCGTTCAAAACCCTGAACCTTCTGCTGTCTTCTATACACACACGCCTCAACCAACTTTGTCACTGGAGCTTGGTTGGGAAATCAAATCTGTTTATGAGCAAACTCACATTTCACTCTTTTGATCATGCTGGGGTAGATCTGGATTCAAATTTAGCGGGGTGGGTCAAACAATTTGCCAAAAAAACCCATCCAAAAAGAGGGTGGGGGAGGGAGGTTCTGGTGGTCCTTCCCCGGGAAAATTTTGATTTCTAGATGGCGGGAAATGAGTTTTCCCGACTTCAAGAGGTGTCTTTTAATGAATAGCAAGTTAGCTTAAATTTCATCATTCTTATTACACTAAATAGGTCTATTAAGTGTGTATACATACAGAAAAAAAAATTGTAATTGCATGCATATTTGTTATTCCACGAATCGATGAACCCGAAAAAGAAAGGAGGATTCTCCTCCGGGAAAATTTTGATTCCATCGCGGGAAATGAGCTTTCCCGGCTAATGAGGTGTTTTTTAATGACTTTTAAGTTCTTCAAAATTCTAGGTTTTTCCTTCTTGAAAACGGGCAGGTAAATTTTCTAATTCTTATTACAGTATACGTCTATTATGTGTGTATACATACAGAAACAACATTTAATGTTTGCATACGTAATCTTTTTTCCATGAATCGATGAACCAATAGGCATGAAGAACGCACTTCCGTACAGAAATTATGTTTACGACTTCGAACCAAAAACAGCGTTTTTAATTTTATTTAATTGAAAGCAAGTTAGGTCAAGTCTTGTTAGTCCGATCTGTCAACCTATGCCTAGGTAGGTTAGCATCCTTTTGTATGCCAGAACCCAGTAGTATTTTTTCACATTTCTTCACAGGAGGGGGTGGAAGGTTCGTCCGAATCCTATGAACCCCCCCACCAAACCCCGGATCTTCGCGCCGTTGATGTCTGAGATATGCTACAAAAAATTATATAATTTGTTCGGATCTCATACATAAACATATGTTCTTGTTTGTGTTAATAAATGAATTTCAAAAACACTACAGTATTTATTGAGGCCAGAAAATTTAGGTCTAGAATGTTGTTTGCTCTGCAGCTAAAGGGGGAGAGGGTGGCTCAAATCCGCTAATGTCATGCGTCCTTGAGCCGCACTAGGTAATTTCAAATTCTTGCAGGGTGTTCCCTTAAAGAAACTTCGTCAAGGAACTATGCGGTACCTCAGCTCTACCATTGACACTGGAAGTTATGTTGGCATTGTCGAGTTTTCCACGTTTGGCACAGAGCTAGCTCCACTCACACTTGTGTCTGATGACAGCTCCCGAGATAAACTTATTGCAGCTCTACCTTCATCAGTAAGCGGTAGGACAAGCATTGGGTCAGGTGTTCTAAAAGGAATAGAGGCAAGTGAAAACGGTCAATGCTTCAGTTGTAAAATATTAATAAGGTTTAGTAGATGATGTTGACATAACATTTCCAGTGGCATACCCAGACGAGGGGCGGGATGCTCATGGTACCGAAGAACCCCCTATTGTTACTTTGGACATTCCAGCATAAAATGCCATGAAACGCCCATTATCTGAACAAAATGTTTTCACAACTTGCTTTTATTGGTCCGATTTTCTTCATTGATCTTTCATTCTTATTATAAATCCACTGTCACAATACTGGAAGTGATTCTCACAACTCTATGCTTTCTTTATTAGGATCAATTTTTAAGGATGATGGGTCTGCCAATATCTTAAAGTGTTCATTTTACTTTTAGGTTCTATCTTCAGATCAGTCGCCGAATGGTGGGTATCTACTTGTCATAAGTGATGGCAAAAACAATGAATGGCCAGACATTAATATCGTTCTAGATGACGTAATAAATTCTGGCATTACCGTTGATACCATAGCATTCACTGACAACGCAGACAACGCGTTATCGGATTTGTCCAGCGTATCTGGAGGAAGTGCTTATTTTTATTCAAGCGCATCCGAAAGTATTACAGGCCTTATTGATTCACTAGCAGCAACGATATCCGACCGTTCGGATGTAACCAACGAATCGTTAGCGATCCTGGTAAGAAATGATTGATGTTAATTAATCTTATAGTTCATTTCCTTTTATATTTTCTTGGTCTATATTTTTAACATTGAAATTCCGGCTCCGAAACTTTGACCCAGAAGTACCGGGATAATGTATTGTTTAGTTAGGTTTGTAGTAGTTAAGATAAAAATTATGATCCCAGCCCCGAAACTTTGACTCAGAAATACCGGGATGGTGTCCGGCGGGGGATAGTTTCTACCAATTTTATCTATTTAAGTAATTGTACAGTATTTGTCCTACCTTGTAATTCCCAGCCCCGAAACCTTGACTCAGAAATACCGGGTTGGTGTCCGGCGTGGGATAGTTTTTACCATATTATTGTAGTTAAGCTTAACCTTGAGCGGTAATTCCTGGCCCCGAAACCTTGACTCAGAAGTACCGGGTTGGTGTCCGGCGGGGGATAGTTTTCCACCAAAGTTGTTACTATTGTTTATTTTATTGTACTGTGCTGGTTACTTTTTGTTGTTGTTGTTATTGTACTGTGTTTTTGCAGGACCATATTGTAAAACAGCGGTTAGATCTCGCCTGAATATATATTATCCTGCCTAAAGATGTTTTAAATGAAATAAAATAAATTAAATAAATAGTCTTTAAAATTGATTAAAGAAATACTTTGAAAAAAAATATTTACATTAGTTATGAAATTACAACTGTTGATATTATTGTATATAGAAGGTCTGTGTTGAGCTGAAAACAAAGAAAAATGGCAGCCATTTTGAAATTTCAAAATGGCAGAGAAGACAATGGACCCTCGCATTTTTGGATTCAGCATAACCAAAATATACAGAAAAAAAAAATACCAAAATAAAATTTCTTTGGGTAATCCTATCTCACAGACACTGTTTTTCGGACATTAGGTTTCTCAATAAATCAACAGATAAACTCAATTATTAGTTTTTTTCCTCAATTACGGTATAAGACGTGTAAATAATTCTGTCTTAGTAGCTTTCCGAAAACCATTAAATTGGTTTGTAATGTTTAAGGATATTTTTATAAAGTATTGTATGAAGGTTTGCATTTCGAAGCAACATAGGCACTTTACGCAAGAAGATTTGGAGCCGTCGACAACGGAAATTCGGGTTAAGCACCCAAGTATTTACTGATGGTCGTCACGCTTCGACGAGCACAGAACCGCCGTCCACCCGTCTTCCCATCCTGTTGCGTAAAGTGCCTACTCACTACTGCTTGTGGCACACCACGTACATAAGTTTTTATAAAACAAAGTTATACCAACAAAAACTAATGCCTGTGATCTGTGCCTTACTAGATGTTTATAGACTATTAGATACTTTAAATGACCAATTTAATGCTACATATGATTGGTTAATTGACTGACTGACTTTTATTGTTTGCTTGTTAAAAAGTATTCTCGTTCATCCATTATCCATTTATCCATCTAATCTTCCATCGATCTATTCCGCTATCTATATATATATATACATATATATAATATATATATAATATAATATATATTAAAATTAACTTTGCTTCAAAGCGCCGTAAACACAATATAAACAAAAAAAAATAAAAATAAATAGTTGAATAATAACTGATTGCAGGTTCGAATTCCGCCAGAACGGTTTTCATACAACTATGCTTGAAACGATTAGGCCTATTATACAACATGGCTTAACCAACTCGGCCAATTCATAATGCTGTACTTATTAATCGATATCTTTGATAGAAGAGGAGATTATTCAAAAACCAGTTGACATGTTTGAACGTTCAGCGTCAGGGGGCGCTGTGCAAGTTGCAAACTACATTGGAGTAACAAAAGATCGTATGCGCCCATCACGGATTGTGGACCTTACTGTTACCAAAGTGTCTTATCAAAACCAAAGTGTGATTTTACAATGGACGGCAGTTGGTGATGATCTTGACAAAGGCACAGGTGAGCGTTTTGCGCATGCGCAGAGATTCTGATTTGGGCTTTAGGCATTGCGAGGTGAAAGATTTTCGTAGGGCCCGCGTTCTAGACTAAGCACATAGGTTACGAAAGTAGTAGGCCTACTGTAAATAACACAGGTTAGACAAAAAAAGTAAAGAACCTTCCCGGCGGGCATTAAACGGACTGATTTTGTCCGCGTCCACTGACACATTCTCCTATTACTGTATATTAGAAAAATCTTATGAAACAGGTATTTGTCATTACAATGGTCGTTGTTAACCAGTTTGCTGCAAATGTCATCCCACGTCTATTAATATTTTTCCAATTTTGTTTAAACAGTATATGAATATGATCTGCGGTTTTCCTCAACGTTTCAAGACATCTTGAGAAACTTTACTAACTCAACCAAAGTGACACCTGAAGACGTCATTAATGGGAATTTGTTGACAATAAAACAACCTGGTCAACTAGAAGAATTTTCAGTTCGACTACCGAAACGCGGAGAGAATGTTTCCTATTTCTTTGCTCTTATTGCAATCGACGAGGCTAACAATACCGGTGGGGTATCGAACATCGTTTCTGCGAATCTAGCATATATACCACCATTTAACATAGACCCTGAGCAACCACGAAATATTCTGGTGTGGACTTTGCTGGCAGTCAGTGGTGTTGGTGCCGTGGTGTTTGTGTTGTTATACATATATGGAATACGTTCTAGACATGGCTTCAATCCTATTTTTTTGTTTGAAGAAAAAACGTGTTGTTAGTCAGTCTAAATCTATCCTCACCAAAAATACACTGCATGATTAAAAGACAAGCATACATGCATGCATACAAGCACGCTTGCTTGTGTATGAAAGATATAAACATGGGCATAAAGAAGACAAACCTAACCTGTATGACATAATATTTTTTACTCTTTATCGCCTTTCGCGATAATCGAGCTGGTTTCATCTTTATCATTACCATTAATGTATAGTGATCATCAATTTCATTATCATCGTTAGTAGTTTTGGTTTCATAAATCTCATCATCGTCATTATTTTATTATCACCATCATTAGTTTCATTAATATGATCACTATTGTCATTATTAATTAGTTTAATTATTCCATCATTATTAGTTTTAGCAAAGATTGAAATATGTTAAATAGACACAATGTAAACATAGGCCTAGGTGTAGAGTCCAGTTAGAAAACGTATATATATTTATATTATATTCATTATGCATGTTATTTAGTAAAATAAATTAAATTTAACATAACATGGAAGAAGCATAGGAAGAAAGAATAGGAAAGAAACTTGGAGCGGCTGAAATATTTACCAAAAAACCCAATAATAATCATTTTGTCATATTGCATTTTTGTGAAAATTTTAGGCACTAATCATCAGAGGTCATGGTGCTGGCAGCCTACAAATGTCATACATTGGACATCGAATCCAATTAACTGCAAACATCTCTTAACCATTAGCAATTCAAAAAAATTTACTTTTTACTACATAAACAACAACTAAAAAATAGATGTCGGATATTAGGTTGAAACGGATTATAGAAGGTTTTAAATATAGCAATGGCAAAGGAATTTTTACAAAAAAATTTATTTTGTAAGTTAGCCCTGTCATTTTGTAGTTTAATTACAAGCGATATTAGTGTTTCCAACGGAATTTGAGCTGGCTTACTGCATGAGGAGTCGTTTATTTACGTCATAACTTTGCCTACATCAATTTGATCACTTAGGTTGAAGGGGCAAAAGACTGGATAAAATATTCTTAAGTCATTTTTTAAATCCTTTCAAAAAGTCGATCTCTGAAATCACCTAAAAACTGGGAGGGATGGGGAAGGGGCCTATCTTGTTCAATGCGTTAATGCAGTACACGCATTGCTCTGTCGTTTCCAAGTTTAAATATCACTTTAGTTGTTACTGGTCTACAAGGAAATTGTGAGTTAAAATTGGAAAACATTACTTAGTTTTCATCAGTCTCTTTTAATTCATTTATAACGATATGCTGCTCTTATATAGGCTCCAGGTTCAAATTTTCCAGGTTCCTCATTGGTGGCGCTGTCCAGAATAAGAAAAAAAAATAAGGGGAATTGTGGCTACTTACAATGGCCAAACCTCTTGCAAACTGCTATATAATTTTCTCATTCACATCATCATTAAATAAGATAAGAATAATAACATTAACAATTCAACTATTTATTGGCTTTATTCAGTTTATAAAATACCACACTCAACATAATAGCAAGAGGTGTAGCTTACTAAAAGGTGCTTAAATTCTGTCCACACTATCAAATTTTATGGGACCAATTATGATATGGCAATATTTGGGTATAATATGAAAACATCATGCCCATATATGGGCACATCACATATAATTTGGGTGTGGACAGAAGCTTAATAAGGATCTACTTGATGGTCAAATCTAATTAACTTATAATGCATTAAGTTCTGTCCAAAATACCAGTTATATATGTCAATAGCTTGATATGCACAGTACTGTCAAGTGTACAGTATGATCTCTCAGCAAATCATAGATATTAATTCCATAGTGTGGACAGAGCTTGAAAAAAGCTTCTAAAGCCCCGTCCAGACTATCAATTCTTTCACATCATGACCATATACTGTACAGGACCATGATTATATATAGGCATACAACATTTTGTCATCAAAGAAAATGTTATAGTGTAGACAGAACTTTAGCCTATGTTGATTTTAGGATTCAACAGTAAAGAAGTATGAATTTTGATAAGCCTTCCATAATCATCTCGGACACTATGAGTATCATCAAACTTTCTTCAAGATTTAAATGGTATAGTAATTATCAATAAAAAATTATTTTTCAATCGCCTAGTGTCTTTAAATTTATTTCCAAAATGTTCACATTCATTGTGTCTCTGCATGACGTGTCCTCAAATGTCTTTTCAAGCACCTACTATCCTTGAACTTCTCGTCACAATAATCACATTGGTATAGTCTTTCTCCTGTATGCATTCTCACATGCGACTTAAAAGTTCTACAGTATCTGAACTTCTTCGAGCAATATTCACACTCGTAAGCTGTCTCCCCTGTGTGAATTCGCAAATGCCTTCGCAGATCAGTTGGGTCTTTAAATTTCCATCCACAGTGCTCGCATCCATACGGCCTTTCTCCTGTATGCGAGATCATGTGTCTTTTCATATTGCAATTGTGTTTAAACATCTTTCCACAATGTTCACATTTATATGGCCTCTCTCCCGTGTGCATTCGCAAATGTGACCTCAAATCGTTTTTTCTTTTAAATTTCTTGTAACAATGTGTACATTCGTATGGTGTCTCTTCCGTATGTATTGCCAAATGCATCTTTAAAGTGCCGCTGCTTCTAAACTTCTTTGCACAGTGTGTGCATTTAAATGGTTTTTCTCCTGTGTGTATCCGCGAATGGTTTTTCAGAGTGCCGCGGTCTTTAAATCTTCGTCCACAATGTCCACAATCAAATGGTTTCTCTCCTGTATGTATCATCAAATGTCGCATAAAACTGTTACGGTGTTTAAACTTTTTTCCACAATGTTCACATATAAACAGTGGTTGTCCTGCATGCATTCTCAAATGTTTTTGGAAACTTTGATTTACCCGAAATTTCTTTCCACAATGTTGACATTCGTATGGCGTTTTTCCTGAATGTGTCTTCAAATGAATTGTCAAACCATGGATCTCTTTAAATTCCTTTCCACAATGTTCACATTTGTATGGCTTCTCTCCTGTATGCATCATCAAATGTTGTCTTAACCTGCAACGTTCCTTAAACGTGTATTCACAATATTCACATACATACAGTGCTTCTGTGTGTGGCTGGAAATGTTCTTCAAAATCGCAGACCTGTGTCAAATTCGGACCACAGCATTCGCATTCGTGCATCGCTTCTTTCATGTGTATCATTCTCAAATGTCTTTTCAATTTGGAACGCTTTATGAATGTCTTTCCACAATGTTCACATTCATAGGGTCTTTCGTCTGTGTGTCTCATCATATGCATTCTAAAACGGCTGCGGTAAGCAAATTTAACTCCACAATGTTCACATAGAAAAGACGACCTTTCTCTTTCAGTTTCTATTTTTTCTTCATGGTCATTTGTTTTTGGAGATTGTAGATTGTTCATCGGTTTTGACAAATCATTGTTTACGATTTCATCATCTGATTCCGGACTATCAATGCTGTAAAAATCAATGCACTCCCCTGGATGTAAGAAAATATGTATAAATGAAAAAAGATTTATAAAAAAAATTGACTGTTTTTATTACATAAACGGTAACTTAAAAAATAGAGGTCGGACAAATTACTGTAGGTTGAAACGGTTTATAGAAGGTTATAAATTAAGAAAAAAATTATACAATAAAATGCCTGTTTACAACAGAACTAACAGAGGCACACAAATGTTATAATATGTTTGTCATTTTAAATTAACTGAATACACACAATGGTTAGGATATTAAATACACTATGTACTACCATGCAGGTTATTGCATATAATATTAAAAAATATTTTTACAAATGAAATGGTCATTGACACTGCTACCAACTTACATTGCTGATCTTCGTCATTTTCTGAAATATCTTCGAAGGCAGATAGAGCTGGAAAATATTGGAAATCAACATAGTCAAAAACATATTACTATTGCTACAAAGGCTCATACCAGGAGACCATAGTGGTAGTGGTGCTTATGAAGCACAGAGCTCTAACCATTGCACTATAGAGTACCAAGCCAGGTGGCACTCTCTGTTGTCAACGGACTGTGGTTACCGTTCATTACGCCTGAATGACTTCTGGAATAGGCATTTTAAAATCTTTTATTTTACCATCAAAATGTATTAAAAACACAAAAGCTCGCACTATATTAGTTATCGAACACACATTTAATCATCAATTAAAATTTACAAAAAAAAAATAATATACAACATTCAAACATCTTAATAATTCCATTAGAAATAGGGATCAATGATTTGTCAGTGGAGAAAATGGTGCCCGGTTGAACACTTTTTGCAATGATAGCAATGAAGTAGTATCACACAGTATCATGACATAACACTGCAGTACTCTATAGAACTCAGCTCTGTGAGGGCCAGTAGATTTTTAGACTATTTATACCAGCATAAGTTTAATGGGCAGTGTAATGAAACACTTTAAAAAATGCAAATTTTCTTAACATAAAAATTTAATTATGTAATATTAAAAAATATGTAGAATTGTATTAACTTTTCTTAAAACACATCTTTGTTACATGGTCTTGCACCAAATTTGAAAATGATCCAAGCAATAGAAAATTAACCAAGTAGAGGGTAGAGAAATACATTTTTATACATTCCAAATACTACAGTAAAAACAAAAAAAAATGCAACTTACACTGTTCGTCAATTTCATCATTTAACTTTCCATTTGCATTGTTTTCGTCTGGTGTATCTGATAATGACAAACTTCAATTACAGATTCTTGTTTCATATTATTTAGCAATAATTCCATGGCATGTAAAAACTTTAGAAAATGCAAAATTTTGTTAATAAAAATTTAATTATTTAATATTATATAATAAGTAAAATTACATTTATTTCTCTGGTATATGGTCTTTGTTTGCATCAAGTTTGAAAATTATCCAAGCAATGGAAAATTAACCAAATTGAAGAGGTATAAATACATATTTTTATACTTTCTAACACTACTGAATAAAACAGAAAAAAACTTACACAGTTCATCAATTTTATCATTTGACTGTCCATTTGCATTATACCCGTCTGGTGTATCTGATAATGAAAATTAAACTTCCATTACAGATAATTCTTTCATATTATTTAGCAAATAATTGCATGGCACGTAATACCTAAGAAAATGTTAAAGGTAGTCCTGTATTCATTACTGAACCTACACTGTAGGGGAATGAGCTGTTAACCCATCATACTAAGCCTCAGCGTTAAGTGGTAGGGTGGCCAGTTCCTTTCCATGCTGCATTTTTTGGTAAATCTTAAAATGGTAAATATTCAAATAATTCTAATTCAATAAACTTGATGACAGATAACAATAGATGGATTTATACTATAGTACAAAATATAGGATTCTTCACACATAACAAAACAAACAACACAATTAAACCAAATAAAGTAATAAAAAAATAAAATATAAGCGGGTGAAAAGACTGTACCAATGAAGAACAATCATGAAGCTCTAACGCTGCTACACTGGCAAATCTATCTTTCAAGTGCAGTCATTATGATCAGTGAGTTTGGGATAAGTTTGATGAGATGTGTAGAAGACAATTGCAACATTTTTTGATCATTGTCTGTACAGGACACTATTGTAATTGTACAATCAGCGGTGGTGCCAGCACTTTCCCACACACACCTTTGCCCCACCATGTTTAGGGCTGACATGAAAACTACAAGATATGTCACTAGATACCCAAAAATGGCACTCTTAGTGCAGATTTCTCCGACTTCATCAGAGGATAATGATTCTAATTATTTTCCCCCGACAGTTTATACTGTAACTCCCCAATGGCTGGACCAGGTATCCGCGACACTAGACCCGACCCCAGCTGCATGGCCCACCCACTTTTGTGCCACACCAGTCTTGAAATGAGTGCACGAACAAGCTTTTCTGTAGCATGTTTCATTCAGGAAGCCTCTGATATTCCAAATATTGCAGATTAGTATTACTGATACTGGTAACATGCTGTATTGTATTGTAAAAACAACCAGAATTTTCACTTTTATTAATAAAATGTAATTAATATACTTACCAAATATTTCTATTTCTTTACTACATGAAAGGATTGCCAATTTATCAAACAACCCGTAACACGATGGTTTTTTCAGTACACATCCTTCTGGGAAACCCCTGCTGCTAATGAGCCCTGCAGCAACTTTCTTGTACGATATTCTCTTATTCCCACTTGATTGCTCTGCAATAAAATCAGAATGCCATGTAAAGAAATTATGTGTGCCGGTTAACAGGTACTGTAAGCATTTTGTTTTTCTTATTCCGATTAGCAAATACAGAATCTAATCTTAAGAAATTAATTTTTGTACACAACCCAAACAATACATTATTTCTCATATCTATTTTTTTCTGCACCTGCTCAAATTTCTCTTCCAGCAACAGTGGCAAGATATGTTTCAACTTCAATATGCTTTATAAATTTTATAGCATTCATTATTAATAAATAATAAAGTAGCCTATTATATAAGTGTTTTAAAGATAAGCCCTATACTGTCTGTGGTGAAATATAGAAAAAAAACCCCCTCAAGATGTCAATTAAAAGATTGTAATTGCTCATTTGAAAGATAAATGAGTAATTAACTTCCAGTAATGATGAAAGCAATGATTTACAGAATCCTTGAATATATTACAGTGCAGCCTCCAAATTAAGACCTTTCTCATTCCAAAACCTTTCTAATTCAAGATAACTTTAAATTACCACCTAACACAATCTTCAATCTCACAGCTAATCCTCAGATTAGAGACTGAATCCAGGACAATATTCAGACGTATTTCTCCCTTTATAAATTTTCATTGAAAGCTAATATGCACATAAAAAGTAAGAAAAATATTAAAATAATATATTTCCTTGTTTTTAAATTCATCACAGAAAGCACATATTTTTTTAGTATTTTGTAATCACATTACCATATTTAGAGTTAAAAAGTTCTTGAACTTTCTTTCTAACATCTTTTTTATACTGTGGATTACTTTCTTCAAGACCTATTACAGAAAAGAAATACAAATCATCATATTTTGGTTTTTTATAAAAAAAAAAAGTGATTAATTAGATTGTGCAATGTAATTTACTTTGCATAGAAAGCTCCTGGGTTCCACTAGGTTCGACACAGAATAAAAAAAATCCATGGTAGGGTTCATGGGAAGTTTTTATGGCTTCTATGGTCCAAAATGTGCTTTTGGACCATAATTTCTAAATGGGCTGGCGGCACTCAAAACAACATTATTATTTGGTTAGTCAAATTAATAATTTTTAAATTTTTGATCAGATGACTTATTTGTGCACCGGACAACAGGTGAGTCCAGGCCTGTTACTACCACTTACACTCCTTATGTCCTTCATCACCACCATCAATTGGAATTTCATTACTTGAAACAGTTTCCAATGCAGATGGAGCTGAAACAAATTAAGGAAATATTAATAAGGCATTAAAAATATTATTTAATTAGTATTATATATGAGTTTGAGCAATGGAACTTTTCATTGCAGAATTTGTATGTCAAGTTAGGGTTAAAAAAAGTCACATATACTGTGAGCTTTGGTTGCCTATGGCTACCACTTATTTCCTTTAGTATATCCTTGATTAGATGATTCTGTCATTTATTAAGAATGTTCATGCAATCCTAAGATTTAACAAAACTTGTAGGCTAACGCAGATGTAGAAAACGGTTTTAAACAACAAACTCTTGAGGGAATATATTGGTGGAAATTATTATTATAATATTACACATTTCCTTCTGTGCTAAATCATGCTAAATGTGGTGAACCGCAAGCATTTGTCAACTTACACATAATATAATTTCAATGACTAAAATCAGCAAACTCGTGTATTTGCAATTGCAAAATCTTGCAGTTAAAAAAGGGTAGATTTTTAAAGCAGCTGTTTATTAAAATATGTTCAAATAAGTTATCTGGCCGTTGACATAATACCAACCTGTATTAATTTAAATAAAGATAATTATTATGTCCAGAAATACTGTAACCATCTGATATTTCTTTTAAAGTACTGTACAGGATATAATACAAGATTAACATTCAATTTTTATACTACAGAATAAAATATAAAACAAATGCAACTTGCATTGTTCATTAATCTCACCATTTGATTCTCCATTAGCATTATGCCCATTTGGTGTATCTGATAATAATTAAAAAATAAAAGTAAACATTAAAACAAATGCAACATACAATGCTTATCATTTACATCATTTGATTCTCTAATACCATATACCTGTTTGGTGTATCTGAAATTAAAAATGAATATTATCATTGAAACTTCCATTATTCTAATTTCACATTATTTAGCAACCATGGTACTGTACATAAACATGTACTCAGAATCAGATAGTCCAACATGATTGCCTCTTTGCAATGCAAATGTAAACATGGTGTAAAAGTCGTAAAACTATATCGTTACAGACAGAGAGTAGCTGGTACAGTTAAACTTGCCTAAGTCGACTGTGCCTAAGTCGAATAATTTTCCAAGTCGAATAATTTCTAAGTCGATCTTACTCTACATGCCAAATTGTTGTGTTTTTCATTAATTAACAATCTGCATGTCAAATTTTATCTAAGTCGAATAATATTTAAATGGCATTTTGGATTTGACTTAGGCAAGTTCAACTGTACTATATAAATGATGATCTGTGACTGTTACTGACTTGAGTAGCGAAATCCTTAAGCCGAACATACTACACATTTGATTCACATCTTTTTTTCAACTTTTAAATTCTGTTTTACTCACAGGACATTGAGGCCTTGTTTATGAGCTGTAGCAAATTTACATTACATTACATTACACTGCACAAACAGTCGTGGGTCAACACGATTATCTGAAGTAAACAGGGCAAGAAGGCGTGAGCAATGGATCATTATTATTGACAATCCTCTCAGCCTGTCAACGACAGCTTAAAGTGTTCATGGAAAGCGAAGGTTGATTTTGCTTACGACATGGTGTGTGCTCAGCTTCATGCAGTGGAGTCATCATTTACACTGTATGTTAACAGTGTTTCATAATTTACTCTTTGCTGTGTTCAACGGAATGCAGCATTTATACTACTCATTACACTGATTACCACAACTAAATGTAAAGTTTGATTAATAAATATAATAATTATACTTACCAAATATTTCTATTTTTTTACTACATGAGAGTATTGCCAAACTGTCAAAAAGCCCATAACATGATGGATTTTTTAGTACACACCCTTTTGGGAGACCCCTGCTGCTAATGAGTCCTGCAGCAACATCCTTGTAGGATATCCTCTTATTCCCACTTGATTGCTCTGAAAAATATAAACAAAATCAATGCTGATTATTTTAGTAATATTAGTAACTACTAATGTTTACACATCTTTATTAATGAACTCTGTAACTTCAACAATTACAGTGTTTACCTTCAACATTATCTAGAAACGTTAAATATTTTGTTTTTGAAAATTTGAAATTGAACACTAACAATAACAGGATTTGTGCATAATAATGTACAATATGTCCACTGTGTAAGGTAATGCCATTAAGTATTTTTTAATCTTATTTACCATATTTTGAGTTAAAAAGTCCTTGAACTTCCTTCCTTAAAGGTTCCCAGCTATTTTGTGGTTTTTCAAGATCTATTATATGAAAAAAATTGGTGGTTATAAAATGGCATTATTCATGTATAAAACAAATAAAGAAACGATTACCATAGCTCCTCATGTATAATCCCATCCCTGATTTACGCCCAACTCCACCTACAGGCATTTTCCCGGGCAAAGTCCTAGTGCATAATTTAGGTGAGTAGGCCTAGGTCTAGTTCAGCAAATTTAACAAATGCTCACAAAATATAAGGATTTGGCTCCGAATTTTGCAGACCTAAAAATCTTTCAATTAATTAGACCAGAAACTCGTCGCCGTAAAGTTGAATACAAAGCCCATTCTTGTAAATTCTTGTTGTCTACTCTCGCTAAAATAAACAAGCTCACTAGCTGCGGTTAAAAATAGGCAACACTGCGGCCCGTCTTTAAAGAGACATGCCCAGTAGGCTGATCGGACTTTTAATTTACAGTGTGAAGACTCATGTGTTCCACAGCTGCGGCTAAAATAGACAACATCGTGGTTCATCCCTAAAGAGACCTGCTCAGTGGGCTGATCGAATCGTTAATTCACAGCATAAACACATGTTCTACACAGACTCTCGCTGCTAAAATAACTTGTTACATCATGCATTACAAGTGGGCAGTCTTCACATGCGATGGGTGATTGGTTGGATTGGCTGTTGCTGGGCAAAAAATAACCTACGACGTCAAGAAAGTCACTTTAGGCAAAGTCTGGTCTAGCTCGAGGTAAGACCAAGATATGGTGCCTCTATCTAGGGGCTTAGGCCTACTAATTAGGGTGTTCCCTTCCCTTTGATATTCAACTCTGATTTCTTCACCAGAATATAGTTTTGGATAGGCCATTAAATGTTAATGCAGTTGTTCTAATGCTTCTGATTTCTTCACTGGAATATAGTTTTGGATAGGCCATTGAATGTTAATGCAGTTGATCTAATGCAAAATGATAGTCATTTTCATTCTGTTCATGCACACGGGAATCCCCAGGTATATCCCACCCCACAAAATCGGGCCAATTTTGTGTTCATGGGGGGTTGGGATTATACCCAGGGAACTACGGTAATAATTGTTTACACCATATACATACTTGACCGAAAATAAAATTATGCAGGCTGTTTGCACTTAATTTTTTTTTTGTAAATAATATGTAGAGAGTTTTTCTCCACTCCGATCCACCCTTCCAGCTGGTGCCAATCCTGATTGCATCAAGTTTGAAAATGATCAAAAGCATGCAAAATTATCAAAGCTGAGGGTAAAAAAACACATTTTTATACTTCCTATACTACAGTTAAAACAAAACAATGGCACTTACACTGTTCATCAATTTCATCATTTGACTTTCCATTTGCATTATTCTTGTCTGGTGTATCTGATAATGAAAATTAAAACTTCAATTACAGATTCTCGTTTCATATTATTTAGCAATAATTGCATGGCAAGTGATACATCTGAAATTCTAATTGAATAAACTTTATGGAATTGCCATCTAAAATGATAATATTAATAGATGGACTTATACTATAGTGTACAATAGAATTCTTTGCACTTAACAAATAGCAGTAAACTAACTTAAACCAAATAAATAATTAAATATAAAAATTAAATAAAATATAAACAAAATAGTTGAAAAATAAAATAACCTAATAATGAAAAGATAAATTATAGGCCTACTCTAGTACAAAATATAAGTCTCTTTTCAACAATAACCAACAACATAAAAAATAGCTAAAAAATTAAAATAACAACATGAGCACACAACCAAAATATGGTAATTCCTTGTCAAATCAACCAAAAAAAAAACGTTAATCTCTTGGATTTTTGTTTTTAGTATGTTGTTGGGACCCATTAGAAACAATCAGAAATGAACAATCTTTGATTGGTGCTATACTTTAATAGATATGGCTAGTTAAACGTACAAGGTATCACTAATCAGCTCAAAGTTAATTAGCACGTATCTCACTAATTAAGGGGCCTAGATCAGAAATTTTTCATTTCCGATCGGTTCTCATGGGTTCCAACAACATACTAAAATTTAAACGGAATCCGAGAGATTGATGTTTTTTTTTTGGTTGTTTTGACATGGAATTACCCAGTTACAATATTACTGCCAATGGCTAGGCCAGATGTCCGCGACAGCTAGCCCACCCGATTTTTGAATTTGATTAATATAAATATACTTACCAAAGATTTCTATTTCTTTACTAGATGACAGGATTGCCATTTTGTCCAACAGCCCATAATTCCCTGGTTTTTTCAGTACACATCCTTTTGGGAGACCCTTGCTGCTAATTAGTCCTGCAGCAACTTTCTTGTATGATATTCTCTTATTCCCACTTGATTGCTCTGCAACATATTCAGCATGCATTATTTTTATGTCTGTTAACATCATAGGCTTAGCCAGCGAGCCGTTCGGCCGACTTTTGGATGGCCTACAATTATTTAGGATGGCCACTTTTACCGTGACTAAAATTGAAACATATTAAAGTATTATATTTCCATACTTTTAAATTCATCACAGACAACACATTTTTTATAAATATTTTGTAATCACATTTACCATATTTAGCATTAAGTAGTTCTTGAACTTTCTGTCTCAGAACTTCTGGGTTATCCCATGGATTTCTTTCTTTAAGACCTATTACAAAAAAAAAAAAATAAAAAATAAAAGACAAACTATTATATATAAAAAAAAATGGTTAAGTAGACTTATATATCATTACCAAAAGATGTTTAGTGTTTATCTTACTTCCAACAAATAGGGTTTAATAAATAAAAATTAACACAAAAAAATGGTTATTATCAGTTGTATGAAATAAATATGTATGGCTCAAATTTGCAACTCGCTTTACCATGGCTGAGTAAAACCAGAAAGAACTTAACAAAAACACATCCTTCACCACTATAACTATACACATAACTGTATCACAAGTGCGCATGGGAGTTTATGTATCTGGTTACAGTATATGAAAACAGTTCAGTGGTGGGTTCAGGAATTCAAAAAAAGAGGGGGCCCAGGATGGTACTTTTACAGAGGGAAGATCATCACCTCAGTCCCACCATGGTTGGGGCTGAAGTAAGAAAATTTGTGATTATGGCACGTCTAGATGGCCAGAAATGGCACTTCCAGAATAAAATTTTTCCTATACACCCTCCAATTAAAGACCACTTTTAGGCCTGGGGTTTTTGTGGTCTTTAGCAGCTTTGGTCTCTAACTAGAATAATAAAGATAAAAGGCATTTGTTAATTTGGGACCACAAATACCGAACAATCCGCCACTGCAGTTCTCAAATTATTTTATATTGGTAAACTTTTCGTTTAACTTTGGTAACACTTACACTGCTGATGCAGTTCATCATCATCATCATCATCATCACTTGGTATTTCATTTACTGAAACATCTTCCAATGCAGATGGAGCTGAAACAAATAAAGAAAATATTATAAAGGCATTAACAATATTTTTTATTAGTATTTGATATGAGTTTGGGCAATGTAACTATTCAGTGAAGGATGTAGAGTATGTGTCAGGTTAGGGTTGCCCTGAGATTTGGTTGCCTATGTTAATCTCTGATCCCTGAAGAATCAGAAATGTTTTAATTAATTATTAAGCAATGTACCATGCAACAGGATTAAATATTCTGTAGGCTAAAAGAGCAAATGTAGAAAACTGGTATAAAAAAAATTCCTGTTCATCTCGCTGATACCTACAGAGTATTATATAAATGGATCTGCCCTAACGCACACATCCAATGAACTTTATACTCTGCAAATATATTTTATACTTTCTAATCACTACAGAATAAAATATAAAACAAATGTAACTTACATTGTTCATCAATTTCATCATTTGATTCTCCATTAGCATAATGGCTGTTTGATGTATCTGACAAAAATAATATTAAAATTTAAGTCAATTTTCACATGACTATAGCAATGAATAGTATGGTGCTGTACATAATACACTAATAATACAAGCTTCTTTGCAATGCAAACGTGAACACAGTGACAAGTCTTGATACTGCGAAATGCTATGACTTCAGTAGAAAAAACCTTCAGCGGGACATACTGCACACTGAACCAATGGTCGTTGGCAACATGATTCTCAGGAGTAAACGATGTCACTAGGCACACACAACAGATTGTTTCTGACAATGCTCCCCTTGGTCTGCCAGCAGAAAACGTTGCGTTATCAAAACGCTCTCACAGAGCGGAGATGAATTTGTTACCCGACAGTGTGTGCCCGCCTTCATGCAGTGCAACTAGTTATAATAATAATGTACATTAATATTCAATGTACAAAAACCCCCCTATTATATATATATATATATATGTTTTTTAATGTAAAGTAATCAAATTCAGCCATTGGCTGCAGATTGCTAATCCTATACCAGAATAAAATAAAATAAAATATTGTTTCATACTGTAATTTACTCTTCGCCATGTTTTTTTAGAATGCAGCAATTATACTATATTAACCTCACTGGAATGATTACTGCAAATAAATGTAAAGTTTGATAGATAATTAAAATTTATATACTTACCAAAGATTTTTAATTCCTTGCTACATGAAAGGAGTGCCAAAAGTTCACTTAGAGCATACTGTGATGGTTGTTTCAGTACACATCCTTCTGGGAGACCCCTGCTGCTAATGAGTCCTGCAGCAACTTTCTTGTAGGACATCCTCTTATTCCCACTTGATTGCTCTGCAGTAATATTACAAATATTTATAGTCAAAGTCTATGCTGATTTACTTTAGTAACATTATAATAATCCTAATGTTCACACATCTTTGTTAATGAACTCCCTAACTTCACAAAAGTGTGTTAACAATTTCACTTCACAACTGTTTCTCTATCCAGAAACCTTCCATAACTTTTGTTTTCTTTAAAAACTTTGACACTTCACACTCACAATGAGAGGATTAGGCAAGACTTTTTTTATACCTTGATTTGTTTTAATACGATTTTTTAAAAAATAAATCGTCAGAGGAGGGCGAAAAAAATAATTTTTTTTTTCTTATTTAGAAAAGAACATCTAGATAGATGAGAAACAAAGTGTTATTGTTGAATGTAAACACTATAGTAATGGGATGGTTAAATACTTTAAATTTACATAATTTAGAAGAAATATACAACTTATTTTGGGAGATTTAAAGGCAGTGGCAGGTGTAATCAAAATATATAAACATTTAATTTTTTTTCTGAAGTTTCCATTTTTCCATGGCAGCGCTCATTGGCCAAAAATAAAATGAAATCATTTTTATTCGCTGGCCGCAGCAGTGGGTTCGCTGAACAAGGTTTAAAGAAAAGCCTTGCCTTATCATATACTGGTGTAATATAATGTTGTCCAGTGTGCACCAACAGTATTTTGTAATTTTTATTTACCATATTTTGAGTTGAAGAGTTCTTGAACTCCCTTTCTTAAAAGTTCTCTGCTAAGACCTATAAAATTATAAAAGAAATTGAGAAAAAAAAATATTATGTTCAAATTTCAGTCTGAGAGTGCCATTTCCAGCCAACTAGAGGAGACATAATCATAATTTTGCATACTGTACCTTAGTCCCAACTATAGTTGGGCCGAGGTAGTCTAAAGCTTCCCTGGGATCCCTTCTATGTAAAATTTGTAGATCTGCCATTGCACAGGCACAAGAAAATCAGGTGACTGCTACCGCTATTATTTACACAACATATCTCCAAATGTAACACCATGAAAGGATCACTAGTTTTGGAAATGTTTTTATCTATAATCACAGTAAGAATTCGTTGGTAATATGCGCGGTCTAAGATTGATTCACTGGCCGTACAAACGGTCGGCCTTTGCGGTGAACGTGTGTCCAACTTACAAGAAACATCTTTATTTGTAATTAAAAGAAGAGTACTACAGCAGTCAGCAGGTGATTTAAAGTGTGAAACTTGGTTTGAATGTTAAATTTAAATGGAAAAAGTTAAAAATGCAATGAATAAAACTAACAATTAAAGAACGTACCTTGTTTACAAATTGAGAACACCAGTCTTTCTGACTTATCATTATTCATCCTATTGTGCGTCACTGGTTTCTGAGCAGAATTTTGGAAGTGGATCCAATTCTATATAAAATGATATAGAATTTAATTCTTGTTTATATAATGACAATTACTAAATAAAATAATATTTTATTTAGAAAAAGCCAGGTAAAGTATAGTATGGAACACCATCAGTGCATATAAGTACAATATGAAACTGAATTAATAGTTATTATTATAGCGGAAATGGAAAAGATTGAATTGTCAACAAATAAATACAACAAACCTGATATTATTATTAAGAAAATATACATTTCACTTTGAAAAACGTACGCAATTAGACTTTTTCGACATTATTACTGAGGATGATGCAAAGGGCAAAAGTCACTTGTAAAATGGAATATTAATGGATGTTTACTGGGTTTTTAACTAAAATATTATTAATAATTTCAGAAAACCAGGCTACTGAGACTACTTTGCTGCTGTTGTTAGCAATGTTGGAGTACACTAGAGTATATTGGTGAAAGGATACCACGATCAAATTTCCAGGACATTCAAGGTTTACAATTTTCCAGTACTGTAATGTACTGAAAAATGCACATTTGTTTTTGCAGGACTTTCAAGGAATTCAATGTAGAAGCGGTTTGGCGCAGCAGAAACGGTTTGGTTTCCAAACCTTGAGGCTGGGGTTTCAATCCCTTGCTGTGCATTTCACTTGTGTCCTTGAGCAAGACACTTTATCTGCATTGCTTCTCCCCACCCAGGAGTATAAATGGGTACCTGGTGGGGTTGCCTGCTCCTGCGCTGATTACCAGCAGCAACACTTAGAATGTGGACCCAATGACCAGGGAAGGGAACTGCGCTTTATAACCGCAAGGAAGAGGTGCATTATAAATGCCCGTACCAGTACCAGTACCAGTAATGATGCATACAAACCCGGCGGACAGGATAAAAAAAGTAATTTATGGACAGGTTAAGAAGTACCTTCACCATAATGTCATTCAGACCTGTCTTCAGTGCACACTTCTTAATCAAGACATTCTCATTTTCTGTCACCATACCTTGATGCCAAAATTCCTCTAATGTTTTCAGGAGTGTTGTTAAGTCTGCTTTCCTGTATATTAAAATATTTGTTTGAAACAGAAAAAACAAGAAAATTCAACCAACAATATTACCATTTGAGCAGGCCCTACAAATATTCTATGACGTTAAAAACAGATAAAACGAATGAATGATATAGTAACACATAATAAACAAAAACATCATTATATGAAAAAGTACTGTATTATTATTATTATTATTATTATTATTATTATTATTATTATTATTATTATTATTATTATTATTATTATTATTATCATTATCAAATGATTAAACAAGTTATAAAAACCATTACGAATAATTTTGACAAATAAATACTGAATGTTAAAAATATGAACGGTTTAAACGTTAATTATAGGCCTACACACTTGGTTAATTCCATCACTGGGGTGTTGGGTGTTTATTTGGATATTATTTGGGTAATTGCGTATCATTTGGGTAGGTATCATTTTGATAATTCCCTATCAGTTGGATAATTCGTTGAATTGAACTGTTAATAATAAATTTCTGTGAAAATGGTAAATTAATGTCAATCTATATGCACCGGTTGTCAACTGCAATGTGAATCTTTTACAGTACCGTACTCGTGCGAATAAGCACCCCGTTTGAATAAGCGCCCCCTCAATAATATAAGTCAATAATCCAATCAATCCTGCGACTGTGGTTGTTGGCATGATTTGAGCTGCAGAGTGGAAATACATTCTTCTTAGGTCAATATCGAAATGAGGATATTTCTTGGACAGATGAGAGCTCTGATCCGTGGACAGTTCCAAATTTACTCTTTTTGCATAGGCATGTTTGTCAACAGTATGCCAAGCCTTCTCCTCTTTTTCTTTTTCCGACCCTTAGCACATTCTCATCTGAGTTTTCAAGAAAATATACAATGATCCTGCCATCCTGCCAACCTCAATCGGCCGATGGCCAAGAAGCTAACCACCTACCACCACTAATTGCATTGGTTTATTTTGATGTTATGTAAATATTCACGCATTCCTGTCATGTGGCTAAGCCATGTTCTCTGGACGATTATCTTTTCCACCTAACCACCATTCGTAATGTCCTTATATAATCTTTTTTCATTCAAAAAGTGCCTCTTGAATTTAATAATTTCCCATAAGAACCCCTCGATTTTCATCTATTTCCATAAGCGCCCCTCAATTTCCACTCTGTTTTCATAAGCGCCCTGTACGAATAAGCGCCCCTCAGAAAGAGCAAAAAATATTCTAAGCGCCCGGGCGCTTATTCGCGCAAGTACGGTGTATATATACATCAGGCGAGATGTTTTTTATACCTTGTTTTATGGACTTATTTTTTAAAGAGCGAAAAAATAGATTTTATGTGTGACTACCTCGATTTATTGGGGTTTTTATTAAAGTTTTGTTTTTCCATAAAACCTCAATTGATATTTTACCTCAGCCTCAATTTGTTCTTATGTTGTTCTTGTTTTTTAAGCAATTTCTGCCTCATAAAAAAAGAGTACTACAGTGTGCCGAACGTACTACTGGGGGTGCCAATGCACTTTGGTATTTTATCCTAACCCAACCTTAACAATGGCTGATTTTCGACTGGTCTTTCTTCGTTAAATGACGTCCATCTGCGCAGTGGTAAAATCCTACTTAACGAAGACGACCAGTCGAATAGAAGACTGGTAAATGCTCAACAAAACAAAATGGCTGCATAGATACCGCGATACATGCTGCAAAATCATTGTGTAATTGTGGAAGTAAGGGTTTTTCGTAAAAAAAATGTTTTCATCCAGTTTTTGAATTCTGAGCCTACAATTATTTTTTAAACAATGTGGGTAAATATTATAATTTTTATTTTCTGACATTTAATCTAAATCATATTAACGAATATGTTGTTGCTAAACTAGTGACCAATCGGACATATTTTTTCTAGTCACGTGGATAACTTAACACTGATTAACGCATTCTGGTTACGTTACTTTCGTTGGCAATGAAGTCTAGACCTATTTTACGAACCAGTCAAATGAAAATAATATTCAACGAAAATTTGTACTCAATGAAATGAACCAGTCAAATATAAAGCCCTATAACATTGCAAGACTGGAGTTGATATTAAGGTTAGTAGGGTGAAGTACTAAATGCATTATCAACCTACTGGGGCCTTTACTCTAGCTAGGCTTAGGCCTACTACTACCAAAGAGGTAGCTAGGCCTAGGTCTACCTACACTCAGAGTCATTATAACAACTCCCTGCTACACTGTGTAGCCTGTAGGCCCGGGCCTAGCCTAGCCTTATTAGGCCCCCACCCCCTAGCCTAGGCCACCTAGCTAGCTTAGCCTAAGCCTGGCCCTCTAGCTATCCTAGATAGTAGTATGATATGAAGTATATATGTACTCTTAGGCCTAGCGAATTTTGAATAATTACTTTGCCTATAAACACTAACGAAAGAAAACCTACTTTCTTCGTTCGGAAAGATTGTCCATGCTGAATAACACACCGGGCCGGCAGAGCTTCCGCAGCTGGCATATGACCCGGTTGAGCCGTCGACAAGAAGTTGAGCCGCCGGTAAATTCTATGGAACGCCAAGCGCGTCTCTCAGTGAATGTAGTCGGCTTGTACCGGATACCAGATATTCATCCCACATTCTTGTCAGTTGATTTGCTCGTATTGCCGTTCATGATGTATAAGTTGTGTAATTGAAAATTAGAATTTTGATTATTTTATGTACTACATTTTTATAAAAATAAATGAAGTTGTATAATTGCAAAATCTTATTAAAAATGTAATTTTACGTACTACATTTTTAGTAGAGCTCTGCTCTTTGACTTTGTAATCAAATAATCAAAGATAATAATAATAAATAAGTCCAGTAAAATATCACCTTAACCGTTGCATAGACTTAGTAGTCAACGAAATTCTCACCATAGGTTCTATATATTATGTAAACATATATCGATGTTGCGTCGCATGAAAGTTGGGATTTACGGAGAAAATCAAGTTTTTACAGGCAGATTTTGCCTACCTACCGTCGTGAATTGTTTACATCGAGAAATGACGTCACGAGGCAAATTATATGATACGACGCTTCTGCCGTTGACCTTCGTTTTAAAAAGAAATGTATAAATGCATTAAATGTGGTAATTAGTATCGGTATTATAATATATTATTATGTATCACATATAAAAAAAGTTGTTTTGATAATGAAAAACTCAAAAAAATATAAGAAACAAAGAAAGTTGTGATTTTTTTACATGTCGTTTGAAGTGACCCGCCATACAATTTGATGACGCCCTCATTTGATGACGCCCTCAATTCAAGCATTGCATTTTTTGATACTGTAATAATATGTACATTTTTACGGTAGGATCAAATGTTTTGTACACAGGAGGATATATTTACTAGTTTGTTCTATATTCTATAGGTCTATTTACCGAAAAAAATAATTAAAATGTAAATTTTATAAATTTTAATTATATATGTAAAAAATTAAAATCCAATTCGGCTTTGTTCAAACGAAGAGTAATCTTTTCATATTTTCTTAATAAACTGGTAATCTTCTTAACTGAAATCCTTGATAATAGAACCAAATGGACGTAAGTTGACAAAAAATACAACGCATTTTAAAAATAACACAAAAGATTTAATGGACGACATGTTTCGGGTTACCTTCAACCCATCATCAGTTAACAAAAAAACACAACAGAAATGAACCAAATACTTTTCATGTAGACTATATATATATAGGTAATTATTATGCTGAATATTAAATAGATAGATTGATTTGTTTGCTATAGTAAGTCTGAAATCTGGACTAAGTAGCTAATTATTATTCTGAATAATAATTGAATACCATGATTTGATTAACCAAAGTAAAGCGATAGTAAGTCTGTAATATAGACCAAGTGTAGCTAATTATTATGTAGAATACATAACTGAATGTAATTCCAGTTATATAGGCTATACAGACCGTAGATTAATTACGAGGATTGGTGAACATCTTGGAAAGGATAAAAATTCACACGTACTTAAACACCTTAACGCAAACAGTAAATGTAAAAGGTTGTCTGATAAGAAATGTTTCTCTATACTGAATATTGATAACAATGAAATCAAATTGAAAATCAAAGAATCCCTTTACATAAAATGGAACAATCCTGATCTTAATTTGCAAATTAAACATGTTTGTTTGTTTGTTTGTTTAATTTATTTCTCCACACACATGAACATATTAACATACATAACAAAAGCTTAAGAATAATAGTACATTACAGAATAAGTGCAGACAGACAGACAGACCGACCAGGAGACTTACCGGCCATACTCCGAGACCAGAGACTTTTTAAGATTATATTTAAAAGAGTTGAGATTAGGTAAGGATTTAAAGGAAGTTTTTAAGGAATTCCATAATTTTGGACTAGTGTAAAATATGGATTTTTTTTCTAGAAGAGGATGTATATTTTTCAAATAAAACGTTACTTTTAGCAAATCTAGTATTATAGTCATGTATATCAGCCTGTTGTTTTGGAAATAGATTATGAATATGTGGGGGTAATGTTTCATTTCTAAAGCTTATTTAAATATACACGTAAGCAATAGTTATTATGCAAGCACTTGTTACCTTGCATTTAACTATAGCTTCACAACCTTTTGTCAAACAAATCAATGATTATATATATACCTAATATACCTAATACCTAATTATACCTAATATTCTACATAATAATTAGCTACACTTGGTCCATATTACAGACTTAATATTTTTACTAACCTTTGGTTAAACAAATCATGGTATTCAATTATATATTCAGAATAATAATTAGCTACATTTAGTCCAGATTTCAGACTTACTATAGTTGGTCAAACTTATTGTCAAACAAATCAATCTATCTATTTAATATTCAGCATAATAATTACCTATATATATATATAGTCTACATGAAAAGTATTTGGTTCATTTCTGTTGTGTTTTTTTGTTAACTGAGGATGGGTTGAAGGTAACCCGAAACATGTCTTCCATTAAATCTTTTGTGTTATTTTTAAAATGCGTTGTGTTTTTTGTCAACTTACGTCCATTTGGTTCAATTATCAAGGATTTCAGTTCAAGAAGATTACCAGTTTCTTTATTAAGAAAATATGAAAAGATTACTCTTCGTTTGAACAAAGCCGAATAGGATTTTAATTTTTTACATAATTGCAAGGCATTCGGAGTTTTTCCTAAAATTATATATGTACCGTTGTACCGATGTGAACAGGACGATTAATTACATAGAAAATGACAACTACTATAGTAATGATTTTTGTTTGTATTTATAAAAATAATTAACAATTAAATATGTTGACATCGGGAGCATGATTCAGATAACGATAGTAATAGAGTCATTCCATATGAATCCAACACACTTTTTTGCCCGACCCCCTTCAAATCGCCCAATATTTTGCATGTTGTGGGTTCTACCTGAGATAACTCCACAGTGAAATTTTAGGCTCCGCGCCAACATTTTCTGATGAGTTTAGAGCAATTTGAAATTTTCATGAGATTTGGCTAAAAAACTCATCTCTGACAGACAACTGCTTATATCTCTCTTAAAACTCAACTTGATGATGTCCGGACTAGTGAGAATTATATAGGTCAAGTCACGTGACCTTGACCTTTGACCCAAAATATCACAAAAGTATATATCTCGATTTTTGGAAAATTCACACCTCAGTTAGGACACTTAGCCCACATGATGCCCCTAAATTTTCATTGTGGGCAAATGAAATATATTAGCTCTAGACTACATTTTGTGCCTAGGTATTGATAGTTTCACTGAGTTTCCAGGAAATCTGCTGATGGATTCTATAAAAATTGGCACCATAGTATAGTGAAAATCAGGGGCCCCGTGACCATATTTCTGGGATTAAGGTTTTACTGCTGATTTAGCATCACTAGGGTATAAATAAGAAATTGAGCGAGGGAAAACCTCCAGAAAAAGGGCGGAACATATTTTCAAAATGGCCGCCAAAAAAAATGTTCCGCCCTTTTATCATTGGAAAGAGAATCTTCTTCTCTATCCAACGGTACCAGAATTTCTTCAATACGTTGAGTTTTAAGAGAGATATCAGCAGTTGTTTGTCAGAGATGAGTTTTTTAGCCAAATCTCGTGAAAATTCGCCAGATGCTGGCGCGGAGCCAAAAATTTCACTGTTAGAACCCCCAACGTGCAAAATATTGGGCTATTTGAAAGGGGTCGGGCAAAAAAAGTGTGTTGGATTCATATGGAATGACTCAATAGTAAACAGACGATTATCTAGAATTTAACATAGTTAACTTCGTAAGTTCATGAGGGTGATAATGAGAGCAGGCCTAAAAAACATTATAACAAAATAATTTAATTTTAATTTTATTTTATTTTATAATTTTTATTTTTTCTTTAAAGGAAAATCTGTTCATTACCGTATATGGTGTTAATTGGCTTATTATTTATTATCATTTAATTACTGTAATATTGTTTACACTTATATTCGTAGACCTATTATTCATCATCAATCAAGCTTTTTCTAATACCGGTATTAGAAAGGAAGCAATGATGTTTGCATTGCTTTGATTAAGAAATATATAAAGCATGTTGATTTTGTTTCCTGCTTCATTTTCTGGTGGTTTTTACTGTATTTTTAGTCTCTTACTTCCTTTTTGTGTTGCTAATTACTTAATGAGTGGGATTTGAACATAATCAAATATATCAATATGTTTCAAATTATTAGTTCTTTGATAGCGACTAAAAAAACTCGTTTTTGAAAAATTGTCAGTTACTTCCTTTTGGCATGGTGGGGCAGTATAAGTGTAAACAATATTACAGTAATTAAATGATAAATAATAAGCCAATTAACACCATATAATGAACAGATTTTTTTTTTTAAGTTTTTAAAATTGTTATAATATTTTTCAGGCCTGCTCTGATTATCACCCTCATGAACTTACGAAGTTAACTATGTCAAATTCTAGATAATCGTCTGTTTACTATTACTATCGTTATCTGAATCATGCTCCCGATGTCAACATATTTAATTGTTAATTATTTTTTATTTTTATAAATACAAACAAAAATCATTACTATAGTAGTAGACCAGGCTATAATTGAGATAGGTGCCATTTGGAGAGGTAGAAATTCTCATATGGTTTTTCTAGACCAGTTTTTTTATGGGGAATCAGAATATGTGAGGTAAAAGAGGCGTAACCTGAGAACTTTTGCGTGAGGGCGCTTTTTTCAAAATGGCCGCCAAAATCCAATAAACTACATATATATGGGTAAAATAAGCACAGAAAAGGTAGGTTTGACCAACTTTTGAATATTTAATGATAGGAGTAAAGTATTAATTATCTAAAGTTATTAATGTGAAGATTTCGGGAGGCAATTGAGGGCGCTTTTTAAAATGACCGCCAAAATTAAATAACAATTTAAGCAGCTTAAATACCCTAAATGAATTTGTTTAATTT